AAAAGCAATTTAAAAGTAGAGGTCTCTAAATAATTACAGAGATAATACTGATGAAAGAAGACACGATTACAGTGCCGTCTAGACACGTGCTAGGTTCATGTAATATTAACTAGAAAAGTACTACACACATAAAGACACGTAGGCAACATGCTTTAAAATGCATTTTACTGTCGGTAGAGGGAAGAAAAAAGGAGGTATGATTTATTGTTTCTCGAACATCAGATTTGCTCTACAAAACATGAAGTCAATATTTTATATCCTGTTTACAGATATGTATTGTTTGTAGGTTTTCTTTGCGATCGATTTTGATAGATTACACGATCAATATTTACTGGTCCCAGCTGACAAAGCAGGTAACAACATTTTCTTATTTGTAAGGTTCATAATTAAAATTGTATTTTAGAAGAACTTGGATTTAATTCTGCAGGTGGTTATCCAACTTACACTCATTCATTTCCCTTTCCATTTTTTAGACTAGGAACTTTTAGAAAATGTGATATCACAATATTTTACCGAAATAAATCACATCAAAACTTACTGCTTCGATTCAACACTTTATACAACAATTCACCACGATAAATTAAAGTACAGGCTTTTTGACGTTATAGACAGCTGTTTTTTCAATAAAAGTAGAACTCGTAAATTTACTTACCTATTCATGGGTCATTTGCAAAATTATTTTGTTAAAAACAACTGATTGTACACACAAATACTCCGAAGTAGATATTATAAAGATGCTCGAGTGTCTTGTAAACAATATCTATGTAGTTTTTGGAGACATTAAGACCTTCAATCTGTCGGAATTCCTAAATGGTCACTAATTACGACCCTTTATTAACAGACCTATTTTGTATTCATATAAAGCAGAATTTATTTAAAAAATTCCAAAATGAGAAAAAATGCGCCTTGCTGTGGCCTTCAATTCAACATTTAGATATATCGAAGATGTTTTATCAATTAACAATATTTATTCCTACATTGATTAGATATATATCCCCTTGATCTTGAATTAAGAGATACCACAAAGTCTGACACATTTTTTTTCATATTTGGATATTTTACTAGATAAAAATCTTTAATGGTAACCTAACAACAAAACTTTGTGATACACGTGTTGATTTCATTTTTTTAAAATAGTTTATTGTTTAATTATGTAGCAATATACCATTATCATCTGGATATGAAGTTTGTGTCTCCTAGTTGATTCGATACGCAAGAGCATGCTCTACGTACAAACAATTTCAAAAAAGAGACAAACTATTGACAAATAAGTTGATGAACAAGAATACAGTATCAGCAGTCTCGTTAAAACTCAACATTTTGCAAATGCTATGATCGATACAATGACCTTGTCAGCAAATACTTTGCTTTTACTTTACTGTTATTATGTCGAATGTCGTGTGACTGCTGTGGCCTTCATTCAACATTTAAACATATCATCAATTATCAATTTCGTCAATTAACAGTAGTTACTTTCATTCCTATTCGATATAACCCTGTGAACTTGAAATAAAAGACACAAATGAGTCTGCCACATATGTTTTATATTTGGATGTTAACTGACTGTTGACAATAATGGCCTAATAAGACTAAACTGTATGAAAACGGGCTGATTTCAGCTTTTCCATTGACAACTTCCCACATTGATGTAGTAATATTATAACACCACCTGTATGTGATATTTATGTCTCCCAACTGATTCGATATTAATTCGATGCGCAAGAGAATGCTCTGAGTACGACAAGTTTTAAATCACTACAAACCACTGACAAATTAGTTGATGTTACAAGGATTTCAAGAATTACTTTTAAAGTCTGCTTTTCGCAAATTGTACGGTCGTTATAATGACTTGTTTGTAAATAACACCTATCGTTGGGTCGTATTTTGTTTCATACCATTGCTTTTTTACTAAACTTGACTGCGGAATACTCCGGATACCTTATCAAAATATAGAGCTCAAGGTGGATGTGACAGAGGAAGCTTACTCTTCTAGGCACCTGATACCACCTCTAGTGCTTCCAGATGTCCGTGTTATTACCTTGTTTTGTTTACTATATTTATAAGATCGATCGCTGTTCGTTATCTTCACCTTTTTCCTCTTACACTTTTACATCGATCACTGTTCTCTATCTTCACTTATTTCACTAAAACGTAAAAAATAGTACTCTTTGCAATATCCTAATGCATTATTAGATACGTTTTACAATGTCATTTAGACATTTTTTTAAAAAAAAATGTTTAATGTATTTTCTGTATGTTTATACTTATTCTGGAAAAAAATCAAACCAAAATAATAATAATAATAATAATAGTAATATAATAAAATAAAAAAAAAAATAATTAAAAAAAAAAAAAAAAAAAAAAAAAAAGAAAAAAAAAAAAAACAGGGCAAGGTCAATGAATGTTCCTATTTTTAAAAAGTTGATCCATAACTATTAGTCATACTGAACAGAAACCCCCCAAAAAAATCGAGGGTTTGTAATTTATGTACGAAAATAAAACTTATAAATATCAAAATCACTTCAAAATCTTGGTAATGAAGAAAAATATATATCTTCTTCATACTCTATTGACAATGGAATTTAAAGAAAAGAACTCATATTGACAATACAAACCTTAGTTCCCTCACTCTTTCTTTCCTTCCCATAATTGAACAAATTCAAATAAAAATGGAAAAAAATGAGTTTGAAATTAATAATAGTTTCAATATTAGGCTAATTTTATTTTTAAAGTAGTCTATGAAATGTTTTATGTTCCATTTATGTAAAGTGCCTTAGGGTGATAGTTTTAATATAGAGGACGTTATAGAAATTATTTATTATTATTATTATTATTATTATTATTATTATTATTATTATTATTATTATTATAACTGTGGCGTATGAAAATATCTCTTTTTCTGTTTCTCAGAATTACTACAGAATAATGAATTTAGCTAACATTCATTCAAAAAAAAAAAATAATGAATAAATAAATAAAAGGCTTAAGGAAATTTTTGACGTAATTTAAATTAATTATTAACTTAAGTTTTAAGTATATCAAATAAAGATGTTTTTCCAAACATACAATCTTGATAGTTTTTGAGTTTTCAATCTAAAGAACGTATTTGAGCAAACAATCACTGAACATTCTGGTTTTGTATCATTCTGTATCTTTATATGATTACTCCACCATATGTGAAAATGAGAAAAAATGAAATATTCGAAGCATATTCAAACTATTCCCTAAACATTTAAGAAAAATGAAGAAAATTCGGTCTAACAAATATCTATTCTAGTTAGATTATTAATCTCAATTAACAATGGTTACTTTTATTCATATGTCGAATCGATATATCCTAGTAAACTAGAATAAAAGACACCACATAGTCTGCCACGTTTTTTTCATATATATGGATCTTTACCTGACTATACACGATATGGGCCAGTTAACAAATAAATTGTATGACAAACAAGTTAACTTCGACTTTTCCATCGTCAAATTTCTTATCTATGTAGAAATATCCCGCTGTCATCTGTATATGGTGTTTATATCTCCAAACTTATTCGATACCCAAGAGCACGCTCCGAGGCAGGCTACTGATAGATAAGCTGATGTTAAAGGGAATTAGCTGATTTATGCCCTCTTCACGGAACTGTATTATTTGCAGATTTTTGAGATCAATCGCTGTTCGTTGTCTTCACCTTTTTCATAAGGTTGTATCATCTGATAGATCCTATATGGTATATTTTTATGAAAAAAGAACACTTTCAATGTTTTGAACAAGAATTGTGCATTACATGATTAGCAACAGTAATTTTTATTCCTGATATCATGGAAAAAGTTGATGGTCTTGACCTGACCTTGCTTTTGAAATAAAACTGTAAATTTTAATCCTCCATGGCACCTGCTCCCACCTCTGATGTTTTTGGATGTCCGTGTTTGCTCTGCTCCCGATTTATTATGTTTTAATGGACTTTGAGCTTGAATACTATTCGTTATCTCCATATTTCCTTAAGAGGAAAACTAACAACATATATACCATTGTTAAATATTTCTAAAATGTAGGAAAAGCTCCACATAAAATAGAATTTAGATGAACAGGATTGAAATATAATGAAAGAGATAAACTCTTTGTACATGTCATTTTGCAAATGCAGTAGTGGTGTTTAACTGTAATCATTTCCTTTTTTGAGAACTGCGTATCTTTATTCACGTTTATCGTGTAATCGACATGAAATGAATTTATACCCATACCATAATAGTGTTTTATTTAGTCATTTAGAAGCTTTTAGCTACATCATTATTGATGTGCATGTGCAACATGAAAATATTTTGCAATTTAATTCTTTTTGGCATGATGTTAGGAAACACCCATACATTATTTAAGCAGATGATTTATGATATATGTAACCTTACTTTAGTATGCTCAATCATGAAATTATTCAAAAAAGTGTAGATAAAATGACTCGAAGCGTTGTTTACGATAAAGAGACACCATTATGCCAAACAAATAACTTTGCACCCTGATCGTCTTTTGACACTACCACTGACAATTTAATAGGACAGTCACTATTAGCTATTACCAGGGAAAGCAACATCCGTATCAGAGAAGTAAAATGATGTCTGACAAAAGTGTTATTCATCAGAAATAAAACTCACAATATCAGTCGAACATGAATTGTTTTATTTCTGGTGCTACTGTCATGGAATTTCTAGATTCTTATTTCCCTTCAGTGCTCAAGAGACAGCCGTAAGATAAGGATTTCATGAAAAATTTTTACTAAAACGAAGCATAAATGGAATATTTTTCTAAAATTCTCTTGTCATGCGAAAAACACATAGATTACCCTTTCTCATTGAAATGTGACAAATTCAAGAAGTAAGAGGAAAAGTGCTCCGAAACTAATATTTTGGTAATCGACGTAAATATAAGCTTCCATCGTCAATCATACAGAATCATTCAGAATGAAAGACCAACACACAACTCCAATACACCGGTTATCTCCTCACTTCTATTATTTCACACTTTCGCCCAAATTTCGTCACATTCTATTGAGAAACCAAAACGCTGGAATGTGTATTGATTTAGTCTTTCATTTCAGTATAAAAAACACTATTGATCAGCATTCTATATGATGCATTATTATATTATTTGCATAATATAGAGTCACCGGCAGTGCCCCTTTCGTTGCTCCTGATATTTGATGCACGCACCTGTATTGATTAGGATTGCGTTTAATGTATTTTCTCACACGAAAGCAAGCTATTCTCTCGGAGATAACCCAGGATACATTCTAAACGTGGATCAGTTAGCCGCTGGTGTCTCTTTAGATATCTTAAAGCATATTTATTTATCAGCTTTTCTTATCAACAACAGCAACAAGACGATTTTGTATACTATGGTTAGCTAGAATTGCCGAGTCTTTTTTATTAAGAAAGCACTGGTATTGCAGGTAGGGTTTTAGTACGATTAATAATAGATTTCTCCTTTAATCAATATCAATCATGTCCCGTCCACAGAGGCTGTAAGAATGTCGCAGAAGTAAGGAAATCAAGAGCCTCCGATGACATATTATCCAGGTTTCGGAATGCTCCACCAAATTATGGAAATAGCTTTATAATGGACCCTTTCTCTTTGTGGTTTTCAGTAGTTTGAAAAGCTAAACGCTGGAGATGGTTATTAAGAAGAAGTAAAAAGTTTTGCTTCGAAATGCTGTGATACTGAAAAACAGGTTTTGTGGATATTCAAAACTCTAGGAATGTGTCTTTTTTCATAATGAGGAAAGTAGACGTTCTACTGTTGCAGATTTCTATGCTGGTGACGATTAAACATGGTAAGTGTTCCCTTTATATTTAATCCAGTACAAATTCAATTCAAAAGCATTTCGTTTTCATGATGTGGAATGGATCTTCAAAGGATGAATGAACATATAATGTTACATGTATATGTAAGTAAAAAGCAAAAATAGAATGGAATTTTTTTTTCATATTTAACATGTTTAAAGCAGGTTAGGACAAGGTATTATATACGAATAAATTAAGGAACAAAGAAAGGCTTAAATATTATGCAAATAGAGCTATTTCAAATTGATAGTGAAAGATAAAAAAGCAATGTTGTAACAATGGACGTTCTTTGCAGCTTATACTGAATAATATTTTTCATAAATTATAGCATTTTAAGAACATTCTTTACAAGAACCATTGGATATTAAGAATTTTGACTCGGAAAGAAATTTTAAGAAAATAAAATATTACGACCTTTCAAAAAGCAAATTGTGTGCGTGGGTAGTCAGATCAAAGGACAGTTATTGCTTTGAGTAATCGTCGTATTGCTAAGCATTTTCTGTATGAATAACAATGAAGGAAGGGGAAAAATAGTTTGCTTGAAACACGTGTCACCATTGGCGTTACATCAATGAATGCAAAAATGACTCATATGCATTATGATATTTTTAAAAATATACAAATATTTTCTTTTTATTTTAAGTCCTTTTTATTTAACAGGAATAAGTTGGTGCACACATTAAATCCTTAAATAGATTTTAAAAAAAGACCCACATTTTATGCAATGTTTTAGTGACATGTACATTTAGGGAAAATCAATTGTTACATACGTACGGTATGTGGAATCTCTCCATTGAAATTTTTTCTACTTTCCTCCGATTCCACTAAACATATCCCGTTTCACCTAATGAAAGCATTGTTTTAATGGCAGTTCCAAGTCATTGTAAAAGCAATCGATACTTGATTAGGAAAAAATAACCAGATCTCAAGGGTAATTTTTCTATCTATTGTTTGAATTGAATTATCTTCTGAAGATTATAATTCAAAAAAGAGGACAACATTTAAATAAGGTAACTACTAGTATTCATAAATTATCTGAGATCTCTTAAAAGAAACCAGGAGTGCATTTAAATAGATAAATCTACGACATCCACGTAGAACTAAGACAATGGCAATGCTAAACCATGACGGTCCTATTACGGTTACTTTAATGAATGAGCCATTCACTTTATTAGAAATACACTAGGCTAAATACTACATTTTAAACAATTAAGCAAGGAAAAAAATGAAACCTGCATTTTCCATCTACAGTATATCAAGTTGAAAGTTTAAATAATGCACTTTTAATTAGACCCCAGTAATGATATTGTCAAACCCAATCACACTCTATTGATTGTGAATATGGAATTGAAGTCTCCTTGCTTTCTCCTCGGGCGTTTTTCTTGGTGGTGCTTTTCAATAAAACATTATATTGTCACTTTAGCCCGGGTTGCACTTTTAACCCACGTCAAACTGCAGTTGCTTCATTAGCCAAATATTGACTGTTTGACACTCTAACACTGGCTTCAATGAAGGATGTAGGGGGAAATTCTGGCAAATAAAGCTTTGATTGGAGACCTGCTGTGTTTTTTAAACATTCTGAAGGAATCAATTGAAGGACATTGTTCTTGGAAAAAAACTACAATTTGATTTGATTTCGAAAAAAATGAGCCATTATCCACGTAGACTGAGTTGCAAATTTGTATCTCGATGGGTCAGCTATATATACTTTGATATTTGATTAGGCGCTCCTTTGATATGTCCGTCTTATCTGACTATATAACTCAAAGGCCACTTCACCTTCTTTCACAGGTGAGAGGATCCAAAAGGTGATGTTGCACAAAAATGCATAATAACTAAGAATATTTTGGAAACAAATGACAGAGAATACTTAGAATAGAGAAAAATATTATTGTTGGGTACCCGGTAGATCATATGATTTTTTGCAAGAACAGCGGGTAGTAACACTTTAACATACATAAAATTGACAGAGGTATTTTTGTTTTAAATCTTCTTGTGATAAACTATCAAAATTTATCATTTCGATAAGTTTTTGAAGAAGCATTTTTCATGACATTAAGTATGATCTTATATAGAATTCTATTTTTACGATTATTGCTTAATGGAAAGGAGCAATGGCTTGTACTAATAGTACTGCAAACTATATATATATATATATATATATATATATATATATATATATATATATATATATATATATATATATATATATATATATATATATATATATATATATATATCTTTATAATTATGTAATTTTAAGAAATATCCTTTGGCGTCTATGAATTGTGAAAGAGAGAAGAGAAAGTCACAGCTCAGGAACTTTTGACTGCAACACAATATAGGATATAATTTTTCTAGTTGAATGCTGTAAGAATAATTTGATGTTAAAGAAACACGTGTAAACTTGAATTCTCAGAGTGAGTGATTTGTTATCTTTTATTACCAATTGTCTTCTTAGGCATATCTATAAATGTTAAGAATGTAAAAATTGAAATACCTTCTCCAATTTTAAACAGGGATTATATGTCAATGTATCCTCCCTGGTGAAATGAGCATAACCAATAATGCTTACATTATACATTGTCACAAAAAATACTGCAATTGATCATTTTCTGGAGAAAATGTTCTTTACGAAGAGTAAACAAATGATCAAAAGGTAGAAAGGTCGACTTGTTTACAAAATAAATGACAAAACTTAATGTAAAGAACTTGTCTAAGAGCTCAAAATATTGGAAATAAAGAAAACTATTTGGATTAAAAAAAGCTGGAGTTTTGTTTTCGTTGATAAGAAAGTCCGTGAATAAGAAACCGAAATTACTTCTTGCTGAAATATTGTCTTTAGTTAAACAATTCTAAATACATTTAATGATCTCAGACAACCAAAGGGGAATGCGAACTCTTATGTAATTAACCTCCCATGTGTGGTCCATCTCAGTTATTTACATCAGTAACCCACGCAAATGGTAAAACTAATTAGATCGAAGATATCTTGTGGCTACTCTTCAATATGAGTGAAGTCTTTATTTGAATCAGTACAAAGCCAAAAGGAAAGGGAAAACCGAAACTACAAAACAAAGGAACAATACCTCAATGTCATCAGATGAAGTAATTTCCGCAGATTGCTGGTTCAGAAAAAAACCCGAGAACGAACAAGACAAAACCCAAGCTTTCTGCTTCTCTTGGCGACACATCTGTCAATACTGACATGACACTAACGGACTCAGCAGATTACATGACAAATGGGGCGATTTCCAATAGCCACAATTTATACTGAAAATCTTATAATAGTTATTACTGTATACATAAACCGATTTTTATGCATTTTCACGTCGTCTGAACGTATTGCACTCCCTTTTTGTAATATCGTTCTCCAAAAATATTATTTTTCAAGGTTACTTGAAGAAAAATAAACGCAATGAAAAAAGCTTTCTGGAGGAAAGAATGCAAAGAAGCAATTCCCTGTTATATTTCTGAGATGGACAAGATAAGTAGTTGAAATAATGCATAATGCTGATTTGTTTTTAAATAGGTGAACAAAGTATATCGCCCATTTTCACTTAAAAGTTGTGACCGTGACAAAATACCCACTCTATATCATACCTTATAATGAGGGAAACATTTTGGTAGTTTTCTGGGGCTCGTTTCTCAAAAAGTCGTAGATTTGGGCCTAAGTAAGTCCGACTAAGTAAGTTACGCCAAAATTCAGACGAGCCTAAATCGCGTTTCAGAAAGCGGCGTAAGACTAAGCCTACGACTAAGACGCCTGGTCGTAGGCCTTTTTGAGAAACGAGCCCCTGTAGTTTAGCTCTTAATGAAAAAAAAAAAAACATTTGGATGAAAGATGTTTTTGAAACATATAATCGCCAACAGAGAAATTCGACCCTGAATACAATATAATATGAATAAAATGTAAGGTAAATCACTGTAGAATATTTAACAAATACATGATTAATTGGTCCATACAAAAGCACAACATTCTGAATCCGTTATGATGAAGTGTGGGGGTAGCGAACAGTGATCATTCTCAAAAGGTCCATTTAAACAATAAAGATTATAAGCAGAGTCAACATGGACCTCTGAAAACAGTATTGTATCATTGATAGGTTCGATTCTGTGATTTGTTTCCTCTATAGTTGTCGTATTAAAGGTAGATAGATATGATAACGTAGGCTACAAGAAAAAAGAAATTCTGAATTCTATAGGCTACTTGAATTTTTTAATGCCTTTTGAAATCAATATTTCTTCTTACAAAACAACTGAAACAGGTCCGTAGAACGCAAGGAGGGGGGGGGGCAGCAGGGGGACCCGCCCCACCTACTTTTTCTGAGTATATTTTTTGCTAAAGTAATTTTTTCTTTAAACACTGGTTGCCCCCAACCCCCACCCCACTCCCCACTTTCTATTGTTATAAGGTCGCGCACTGGCAAATTCCAGGATTTGCACAGTAAATTAGGTTTTCTTTTCTTTTTTTTCTTTGCATGTCAGATAATTTTTGGAAGTTGACCCTCCTTTCTTGGTCAGTTTAGGTTTTATTTTTGCTTGTCAGACTTTTTGCCCCCCTCCCTTTTGAAACCGTTGCTACGGGCCTGTGCAACAAAAAACAAAATATTTAAAAAAGGAAATCATCAAAGGTCAAAGGATATCAGGGCAATAAAATTTTTGTGACCGTGAGGTATAAATTTTATCAGCCTTATTATACTAACTGATTTTTGATACAGTACCCTTATATTTTACTTCAGTGATAAAAATTGATGAAATATACTAGCTAAGATTATATTTATGCAACAAAGATACAATGTCTATGCATACAGTCAGTTTATGACACTAGTTTTCTGAGAGTTTCTCGATATTTTTATGTTTCAAAATACCTTTTAATGATAAATTTCAGTATGATGAATTTTTTGCAGGGTAATATATTCTTTGAAAGGAAACACTCTTTTTTTATCAAGCTCTTTAGAAATATTGTTTTTGTTTGTGACCAAAAAAT